TATAAAAGCATATAATCTCTACCAACCATCATTCCTTACTATGTTACATTATAAAAGAGAGCCAATGACAGTCACGAAGCGCTAGTGCAAAAAAAAACTATTTCTAAACGGAACGAAAGATTTTATCATTGAATGAGAAAAAGATTTTAGCACGAAGGTCAGTTAAGAATGTTCCGAAACTAGTGTGTTTTTGTACAGATATTTTTTTTAGACTGTACTGTATTTCCATTAGCTCTAAACTATTGTAGATATATATTATTTATTGCGTTGTCTATATTTATTTCTAAGCCCCGGTGTAATATGTAGGTTGTATGTTGTATTACATAGGCGTGCACTGTGCTATTGTAATGTTTAAAATAGTTTTTAGTATTTTTGTAAAAGACGTGATATTAATATTAATCTTATTCATCTTTCTCCAAAAAAATTATCGTAGTATCAGAAAATAATTGATAATTCCTTTATGCTATCTCGATCTTAAAAAAAGAACACACACACACACACACACACACACACACACACACACACACACACACACACACACACACATATATATATATACTCTATTTCATTAAAACATAATATCTTGTGTTATCTTTTCCTCAAAGGTTATCAGACTATATCTTCGATGACACCTTATATATAGGCCTACTTTAATTTATCGCATTACCTAGAAGTACTTCCTAATTTCCTTGTACAATAACGGGGGCCTAAAAGAAAAAGGTTTTATATGATTTCAGTTGATAACTTATCTTAGTCTGTTTTAATACCATAGTACGTGGAATTAGTTCAGAGTTTCTTTGTACTATTGCGGTCCTAAGTACAATTTAATTTGATTTTATCCATTTCATTCGTATCTTATCTCGTGTACTTGATAAAGGTAGATGATGTTACAATGCGAGATTTAAAAAAAAATCAATATCCTCCGATACATATATAAGAAAAATAAAAAAAGACAGTTATTGTTGTTATTGTTACCTCGAATTCTTGTATATTTCTCGTTTCTGTTACATATTTTGTTTCTTGTCGCAGATAGGAAATTATTTGACAGTATTTGTGAGCCTGCCTCATAAAATCTTTACACTGGCTTCGTCGGCACAGTAAATTATCTCATAAAAATATCAAAGATCATATATATATGCAAATAATTCAATGAAAAGTATAAAATATCTCATGAAACCTGTAAAATATTTTCAAGGAACCGGTCAACATAAGCCTGTAAATCGTTACCTAAAAAAAACTACAAACTCGAAAAACTTGTGAACTCTAAACAATTTAAACTCTCTCTCTCTCTCTCTCTCTCTCTCTCTCTCTCTCTCTCTCTCTCTCTCTCTCTCTCTCTCTCTCTCTCTCTCTCTCTCTCTCTCTCTCTCTCTCATACTCCTTATCATACTCTTTACCTTTGAGGATACGCTTTCAGGAGCCCCGGCACCTCCGCCAAGTCCTCAGTCAGTAGAGAACACATTACCTTTGGGTTACGGCAGGATGGGGCCCGGCACCAGGGAACTTTAGTCCGGGAGCTGCAAAGAGGAAGGTAGAAATGACTTGGTATTATAGTTAAATGTGATTTGCAGTATTTTTTAAAAATATTTTTTTATATTTGTCAATATCTTTCGGTTGATTGTTTGTTCTCTCACTCTCTCTTCTCTTTCTTCCTTTCTTTCTCTCTTTCCTTCCTTCCATCCTTCCTTCCTTCATTCCTTCCTTCCTCCCTTTCTTCCCACCTACCGTCCACCCTTCTCTCTCTCTCCCTCCATTTCTCCTTTGTTTCACATCGAATTGCATGAGAGATAAACTAAGATTGCAGAGAAAATGACGTGAGATTGTGCAGTGATATGGATCCAGCAAACAGAAGACTTACACTAATAGCTTCTTCGTGTTATATATTTATTCATATTTTCTTTTCGGTGTGACTTTTTCTGTCTATTAGCCACTCTGTCTATCACTTTATCTATCTATCCATCTCCATTTTCATCCAACTCCATCCACGTATATATTTATGTGCCTATTATTTATCTGTCTATCCACGTCTTTATTTATGTATTTGTCTGTCTGTTTACATATTCATCTCGGAATAATGTCAAATGATTTCGCACTTACATATCTTTTTCATTTTTTCCATTCTATTAATCTACCTCTCAATCTGATTCCATTTACTGACCTGAGAACAGCACGGGGGTCACGGGCCAAGTAGATGACCTGGAAATCGAGGTCAGGGTCTTCCAACAGAGGTCGTAACCATTTCAAGCTCATGCGAAGTACCTGTAATGCGAGTTGTTGTTGGTACTACTGACTTAGAAACATTGAAGGAAGTGACAACATTGGAATGACTGACCATAATGACACAATAAAACGGAAGCGGTGATAGAGTGCTTAATTAACAATAGCGAATGTAGTGATAATGACAACACAGAAAGTAGGGACAATAATGGGAGTAGTGAAAACAAGTCAATTCATGACACCACTAGTTCTGACTCACAGACCAGTCTCGGACCCAATCCATAGTCTCATAAGCCTTGTCTGACTGGAACAAGACCCCCAGCCAATACACAGTCCCAGTAATGCACTACCACTAACTTACCCTCCCTGACTGTAAAACTAAACTAAACTTAGCTCATGGTCCCACTCGACCTGAGTTTGACTTCCAGACTCAGGTAGGCCACATAGAACTGAGAGTCGGCCGGGGTTTGGTTCAAGATTGAGATAGGTCAAGTGGAATTGAGAGTTGACCTGAGTTTGGCTTCAGCGTCAGATTGGCCTCGTGGAACCGAGAGTTGGCCTGAGTTTGGTTCTTGATTCAAATAGATCTGATGGACGCGAAAGATGACTTGAGTCTGGTTTAAGACAGGAGTTTGATAGGCCTATTGGAACCGAGAGTTGACCTGACTCTGGTTCTAGACTCAGATAGCCCTAGTGCAACCGGTAGTTGACCTAAGTTTGGTTCCGGAATAAGATCTAGTGGATCCAAGAGGCGACCTGAGTTTAGTTCTAGACTTAGATAGGGCTTGTGGAACTGAGAGTTGACCTGAGTTTGGTTCCAGATTAAGATAGGCCTAACGGAATCGAGAATACACCCAAGCATCAGATAGCCCTTGTGGAACCGAAAGTTGACCTGAGTCTGGTTCTAGATTAAGGAAAAGCAACCGGGAATTGACTTGACTTTGATTCTAGCATCAGATGAACTCAGAGGAATCAAGAATACATCAAAGTCTGGTTTCAGCAGCAGATAGCCCTTGTGGAACTGTGTGCTATGTGGTGCAACGGTAGATTCCTCGGCTAGCAATCATGCTGACCTGCGTTCTAATCCTGTCTGTTTCGAGAGTCAGACAGGGCTAGTTGACCTTAGTCTAGCTCAAACTGTTACAGGGACTATAAGAAGATTAGACACTGCAGTGACCTGAGCCTGCTTCTCGAGTTGGTCAGGGATAGTGGGACCATGAAATGAACTGTGTTCGACCTGAGAGTATAGTTCAAGAGTCAAACAGGAATATTAGAGCTGTGAATATACACCTTGATTTTTTGTTACATAGGACTAGTGGGGCTGAATTGAGACAAGGATGGTTCCATAGTCAGAGGAGGTTAGTGGAACCTTGAACTGACTTGAAAATAGTTTTACAGCTAGATAGGCTAATGGAACCATGAGATGACCTGTGTCTGGCTTGAGAGTAGTGGAATCATGAACTGACTTTAGACTTTTCTAAAGTCAGGGGAAGCTAGTGTTCCCATAACCTGGCCTGAGTCTTGTCCGAAAGTTTGATAAGGTTAGTGAGACCACGAGCTGACAAGAGTCTGGAACCAAAGTCCATTAAGGCTAGGAGAACTATAACTCCATCTGAGTCTGCTTCCAGAGTGAGATCAGGATAATGAAACTGAGTTGGCCTGAGTCGAATACCAGAGTCAGATGAGGCTAGTGAAACTGTGACTTGGATTGTCTGTTTACGTGTAATTATGCATGTCTGTTCCCGAGTATATATCTTTGTATGTATGCATGCTTGCCTACATGAATATCCACACATATATCAGGCAGAGTATTTACGTCCCAATGTATAAGGTAGAAGCATCTGTATCCGAACATCCCACCTTCGCTAAGTGTAAGTCAGCCTCCCGACAGACGCCCTCGACGAAGGAGGCATTGTGGCAAGTCCTCCTGTTGCTACGACACCGCTGCTTCAGGAAAGCGTTTTCCTTCATGTAGAAAGCCTTGCTCGTCAGGTAGCCTACTTCCTCCTGACGGTGACGAAGGCGACACAGTAGCAGGTCCTTCAGAAACTCGGCGGCAGAGCGGGTCGTGGTGTCGTTGGCCGATAGGATTCTCGCTCCGTTCATGTGTAAGGGTTCGTAGCTGTGTGGGTGGCAAGGGTTGACAGATTGATGGATGGATGGGTGGGTTGGGTAATGGATGGATGGATAAGGTATGATAGGAATGAGAGGATAGGGTAAGGGACGGAGGAATGGATGGATAGATCAATAGAAAGATAAATAGCTATAGATATATAGAAAGAGAGAAATTTGGTTGGCTAGACAGCCATATATATATATATATATATATATATATATATATATATATATATATATATATATATATATATATATATATATGTATATATATATATAAATATATATATATATATATATATATATATATATATATATATATATATATATATATGTGAGTAGATAAATGGGTGGATAGATAGTTTGATACACAGAGAGACAGACAGACAGACAAAGAGATAGACACATAGACAAATAAATGAAGAGATACTGTACCAATATATGCATTAATGATATCCAACAATATGCATTTACATATACAGCCATATGGTTGTATATGTAATATTAGCACGTAACTGACCATACGTGCAAAAATCCTTCCTTATTCTAGCACACAAAGCCCCTTTGTACTCAGGTTAAACATTTCACTTTTTATCAGTGAATATAAAAAATAACGATGACCATGACTTTAGTAAAGTTGAATATAAAGGACTTTAAAGTGCTGCAGTTTGATTCCGGTTGTCCTATAAATCCTATACATTATTATAGGAAGTCATTCCTGTTTAAACTAATAAAAAGAAATTCTAGTTAACTACAACCACCATTAAGGTAAAATTCCATTCCATCACCTTGATTCATCTACATTGGTATCGTTCCATCAGAATATATCGTCATATTTTATGGCATGGAAATCCCTGTGCATTTGTGCCAGTAATGAGCGGGTGATAACAATACTCTTTGGATATTTAGGAGCAAGATGAAACGTATTTGTCCCCGTTTTCTTCCTGAAGCTTTGTATTACCTGCTATGATATTCATCCCAGATTCGATTAATATTAGAGTAAGTTTTGGAAATACGTGGGAATATTTTTATGATGGTATGTACGTATACACACACGAGCACGCACACACCCACACCCACACACACACATATCTGTGTGTGTGTGTGTGTTTGTGTGTGTGTGTGTGAGTGTGTGTGTGTGTGTGTGTGTGTGTGTGTGTGTTTGTGTTTGTGAGTGAGTATGTGTGTGTGTGTGTGTGTGTGTGTGTGTGTGTGTGTGTGTGTGTGTGTGTGTGTGTGTATCTGTGTGTGTGAGTGAGTGAGTGAGTGAATGTGTGTGTGTGTAGGGGAAGGCCGTAGGAACATGTGAAAATGAATCTCGCCCTCCCTTTTTCGGCCCAAAAGAATAAATGTGTTCCGTACCAGGTTAGAATCAATTAAGTGGCAACGTAATTATCTTTTATGACTGTAGCCAAAGCTATGGTCATCTAACCGGACCGAAGGAAAAGGCTGAAAAAGTCGTGTTGTATCCTTAACGAACTCTCGATAACCAAAAATAAAACAAAAGGTAATACAAAAGATAATACGAATAAACACGATGGAAGTTATATATTCATTAACACCCAATCTAACCATTAGTGATTAACAAATCTCCAAGCGTCCATATATGTGAATACACACACACACACACACACACACACACACACACACACACACACACACACACACACACACACATACACACACACACACACACACACACACACACACACACATATATATATATATATATATATATATATATATATATATATATATATATATATATGTATATATATACATATATATATATATATATATATATATATATATATATATATATATATATGGGGTGTATGTATGTATGGATATATGGATTTTGATAGTCACCGTGTGCATACTTAATCAATCTTTAACGATTCGTATAATAAAATATTCGCCAAAGTTTCAGTGATTCCCTGTCATTAGGTGATAATGCCAGAGCTATTGTATTTTTGTTTTCTTCTCTCTCTTCTTCTGTTTCCATTTCTTCTTCGTCTTTTCGTTTCATGTTTTTTTTTTCATTCTCCATTTCTCTTTCGTTTCTTTGTATTTCTCTCTCTCTCTCTCTCTCTCTCTCTCTCTGTGTCTGTCTGTCTGACTGTCTCTCTCTCCCTCTCTCTCTCTCTCTCTCTCTCTCTTCTCTCTCGTCTCTCTCTCTCTCTCTCTCTCTCTCTCTCTCTCTCTCTCTCTCTCTTTCATTCTTTCTTTCTCTTTTTCCTATCCCTCTCCATCTCTCTTTCCTATCTATCTCTTTGTCTACGACTTTCCTTATCCTTCAGAATGCTAGACAAGGCAGACATTCATCACCCATTCCAGAATCCATTTTCATTACACTGTTAATAATCTAATGACTATAACATGCATCGACCGAAGAGTTATTGTGAACTGAATAATGTATGAGTGAGTGAGTGGTTGCATGACGGGTACAAAGGGAACATTCTGACAGGGTTATTGTAACTTGGAATGTGTTATAACGGTAATATGTTTTTTCTTGAGAGGAAAATGAGAGAGAGAAAAAAATCGTGTCGTGGAAAATGCTCTGATTTAGAATAAGGAAGTGAATGAAAAAAAAAAAAAACGTATACGGAATAAAATAAAATTTGAAATATTATATGTTCATCAATTAAACAAATAAAAAAACATAAATATATACATCTCCTTGACGGTAATACTATTGTACAAATATGTTAATGAATGTCGTAAGGTCTCGATAAAAAATAGGTTTGATGAACAGTATCTCAGAAGGAGTTTGTGATTAATTGTGACCTTAATTTCCCAGACTAATTAGAAATTGCTAGTTTTTTAATGATGTTAACAGTCCAAGGAATCAAATAATCATTGTTTATTGAACTGCAACTATCGCCATTATTATAATTAATATCTTTACTATTACCATTATTATAATTAACAACGACTATATAAACAGTATCACAATTATTGCTTATTAACTCTATTACTACTATCCATGCCCTTTAAATTAGTACAAAAATCACCCTTATTACCATCAACTATTATTCTCACCAACTGTTATTACTGTTATTATTATGACCCTAATAATTATCATTAGTAATATAACTATCATTATTATCTCATTTTGTTACCATTGTTATTAACAGATCAACTTCCCTTAAAAATGTGCTTGTTCTT